CAGGCAGCTGGCTCCAAATTCTGAAGCACTTCGCATCAGTTGAGAAATGAAACCAAGCACTATGAGTGCTGAATGAATCTATAATTGCAGTGTATCCGAGACACTTCTGCTTTCATTCTTTGTAAGATAGTGGCTGCTATCTATCCTTTAATATACTGGTCAGTGCCTTTCCAAAAATCACAGCATCTAAATACAAGATGAGAAATTACAGTTTGCAGAGCACTGCAATGAAAATTATTCAAGTTTTTCACCAGAGATCACCTCAGAGGCTCAGAAGACATTTGACAGTGTTGCTTATTTGGAGCAGCATCTTCCTAGAAACAGTGGAAAGTCATGGCTTGAGAGTTTAAACAAGATTAAAGAACACATATAAACACAGTTGTGTGCTTCCATTGTGGGGATGGTGCACAGCCCAGCAGAGGAGAGTTTTCCCTGCTAACACATCTGCAAGAAGGAAACCTTTCTTTCTGTGAGAAAGCAGAGAAGAGTGAGACGTGCTGGAAGAGGTAGCAGATGGGGCTGCAGGTGGTGACCCTCCCAATGGCACAGAACAGCTGCCACATCCCTCTAAATAAGCACACGATGGCCAGCAGATAGAGCTGGGAAGAAGGGATGGAGGAACTGGGACAAAAGCTCCAAATTTCCTCTTCTTCCCAACTACCCAGCCCTTATCCCATGGTTCTTCCTCCGATCTGCTCCCAAGCGGATCTCAGGGAGCAGCTGGCTGTTCCTCAGTCCCCTTCCAGCCCCATCCAAGCTAGAGGTGCCCACCTGCTCTGTATCTCCTACAGCCCCAGAGCCATTATGCCATACAGATATGCCTTTATATTGCAGAGCACTTGAGAGAAAGAGAAGGAAGTTTTCCCTAGCCCCCTGGCCAGGGAGGCACACCAGTCACAGCCTTTCCTACATGGAAAACATGAAGAAGAGGTGGGAAGTGACACAGAAAATGGAACTAAGCTCCTCATTAATGTCTACCACGTTGCTGGGAGAGATGGCTCCTGTGGAAGGTACTTTCCAGAGGGTTCTGGCAGCAGGACAGATCTACTATTTGCTTGTCCTCCTGGGCTTTGTCTTTCATCTCCAAGTTTTACTGCTACCATCCATAAAGAGAAGATGGGTGCATCGGTGGCAGAGAGGATGGCCTCCCCTCCCTTTCCAAAGGGTACTGTGGGAGTGGGTAAGGGTGCACCTGGCTGGTGGCTGAGCCTATTCTGCACATAAAACCATGGGGACAAAGGTCCTCATGTCAGGCAGCTGCTGGGCTTCCTTTGATTGCAGGAATCTGGACCAGGAAGAGCAGCCTGGTTAGTCCCCTGCTCCAGGCCTGCTTAGAACCAAGGAATCAGACCATGATTTCTCCAGGGCACTAGGCAAGGATCAAAGTCATCATGTGCACAGGAGAAGAGGGCACATCCCAACATCCTGGCCGCTTTTGGGGGCTGGCAGGGTTTTGCTGCTGTTCTTGTCCTCCAGTCGATGCTTTTCTTCTGCTTTCCCCTGCATCCACAAGCATGACCAGCTATGAAGATCAAGCTTTGAGGAATCAGTATTCAGGTACCAAAAAACTCCCACATCCCTTCTTCTATCATCAAGATTCTCCCAGTACCTTTCTAGCTTCAGGAAGTGCCTGTGAGGCACACTGGGGTGAGAACCCCAAATCCTGCCAGCAAAAAATGGATCTTTGCTCAAAATGGGTTTGCCCAGCATCGTTGGAAACCCATCTCTCTCCTTTGGATGGGCTGGGATTTTTGTTGTTATTGTTCGGAAAGATCTGTCTGTATATTCAGGTACCAAAAGTCAGAACAAAACTCACAAGCAGATGGAGAAACAAAACTAAAAGCTCTGGGCTGGAGGTTGGTTCTCTCCCTCTTCCTAGCGGGGCTAGGAAGGCAGTGGGAAGCCCAGGGCAGTGGGAAGCCCAGGAAGCCCAGGGCCAACCTTTACCCAGCATTTTGGTAAAGGTGAATGGGATTCATCCAGCCAGCCCCTATCCTGGGCAAGGAGAGCTGGATCCGCTCACAGATACAAATTTTAGTGTTTGCTGATGGTGTAGGCTGGATCATACCACCAGAACAGCCCAGCTGCAGGATAAGGTTTCAGATATAGAACCCATGGGAGGAGCAGTTCTGCTCAGAGACCCCCAGCTTGTCCGAAGTTGCTGTCATCTTCCCACAAGACAAAGCCTAGCAGAAAGTATCCAGATAAGCAGCACCGGAGATGACGCTCTGGGACTGAATGAAGAGCCAGAAGGAGCCTGGGTCGGAGAGATGCCAAATCCGGATCCTCTCCATCACCCACACAAGTTGCTGATTAGGCAAGAGCTAACAGCACAATGAGAAGGAACCAGCAAGGCTTTTCTCCTCCTGGGTTCCCACTCAGCCCATCTGTCCACAAGTCTCATCTCCCCAAACAACCCAGACAAGTCTCTGAGCACCTTCAACTGGATCCAGTGCTGGTGCCAATGGAATTGTGCCCATGGAGTGCAGCCTCTTCCATGGCACCAAGTGGAGAATATAAGCACCATGGAGGAAGTTGGTCCTTGCACTTGGACACTAAAGTCATAGCAGATCACACCTGACCTGTCTTGTGTCCACTTGGAAGGCATCTGTGGCAGCTTTTACAAGCCTGGAAGATGGATGCCCCATCCCTGGAGGCATTCAAGGCCAGGCTGGATGTGGTTCTGGGCAGCCTGGTCTGGTGGTTGGCAACCCTGTACATAGCAGGGGAGTTGAAACTAGCTGATCACTGTGGTCCTTTTCAACCCAGGCCATTCTATGATTCTATGATTCTGTGAAAGAGAAAAGCTCTGATGATACCAGCATTTAGACCTGGGGACATAGAACAATGCAGAGCATGTTTGGTTTGCTTGTATAGGTACAGCCTTGCCTTTCTTTCCTGGCCTTGAGAACAGTAACCAGAAGAAGGGCTGTTTTGTCAGCTCCCTTGGAAAGCTTTCTATTTATAATGACTTTTGAGTCCATTACATGAGAAATATTTTTGTCAGGAATTGATAAAGCTCCCTGAGTGATTCAGTTGACACTCCAGAATACTTCATATCAAAGTGGTCTGTGCAACAAAACCCTGGACCTACTGAGGGCATGTCTGCATCCCAGAGTGACAGGTCCCAATCTCCCACTCTGTGGATGCAGAGAGGCTAGGCAAAGAGCAGGAAAACACAACTGGAGAGAAAGAGATAAACAAGAGGACTTGGAGCACTTTTACTGAAATGGTTTCTTGGCTGCAACTCAGCATTTGCTGCTTTCTCCAAGGACTATGACCTCTGAAAAGTCATTGACTTTTTTTTAACATATATCAGAAAAACTCGCTGTGCTGTTTTTTGGTTTTTGTTGGTTTGTTTTTTTTTTTTTTTTTCAAGTGTGGAGTCCTGCTGGCTTGGAAAGATTCCCAAAAGATAGACTGAGGAGCATGGAGAGCTCCAGGGTTCTCCCCACAGGACCATGCATGCTGCCCAGGGAAGCATCTCCTGTCCTTCCCTCAAGGTCCGCAAAGGTTGGGAACCAAGGCACAGTGCCCTAGATTCCTTGCCTCCAGCCAAGCATAGATTTGGTCTATCTCAAGTTGAGCCCACCAGCTGCAGCAGCTCAGCCCGGGCACGGATCCATGCTGAGCATCCTCCTCCTCCCTGCTGTGGCCCCTCGCATGTCATGGAGTGAGCAGCAGTGTGGCTCTGCCAAAGCAAGCACCAATTACACTCCCTTCCCACTCATATCGTTTGTCTTGGCTTTTCCTCCCGTACCAGCCTTCCTCCTTCTCCTCCTCAGGATTATATTGCTGGAGCTGTCACTGTGCTTAATGAGCAGGGACAAAGCAGGGGAAAGGGCTCTGGGAAAGTTACGGTGGGAGACAGCCAAGCCTGGGGCACTGCAAGTGCACATGGAGCAGAAGGACGGTGGTGGGGGGAGAACACTTGAGAAAGAAACTCTAACCACCAGCAAAGGCAGAAGCTGAACAGGAGGGTAAAAAGGCTTGGTGGCAACAGCCGCCAGCTGCCTAGGCCTCCCCGTGCTGCTCCCATGGATGCATCCTGGGACAAGACTGTGGCCACATCCTTCCTGCCCTCAAAAAGTCTCCCAGGTGCTCCTAACCTGTGTTCAAATAACAGTAGTGCAAGAGCATAGTGCTTGGCTGCTAGCCTTGCCACACATAGCACCTGCATGTATGTCCCAAGCTTTAGCAGAAAGGAGCAATTTTGTTCCAACATATGTCTTGGGTGAAAGGGCAACTCCCAAGGGGACCTGAGATCACTTTATGGCAGCAAACCTTATGGCAGACTGGCTTGGTTTTAGAGACTTGATTGTACACAGCTCTGGTGCACAGACCTGAGAGTAAAGCAACCCAGGACTCCTAGCTCATTGGTGATGAGGGGCAGAAGCTGTGCCTTACCCATGGATGCACCTAGGAGCAGAACACTGGGATTTTCACCAGGTTGCACTTCCCCGAAAGCTCTTTCTCTTGTGCAGTCCAGCTGCTCGCTGGTACAGAGATGCAGGCCAGTCTGAGCATGCTGTGCCTCACTTTCCCTCTACCACAAGGGCAAAGCTCCCATTCCCAGCAGCTGTACTGGTGGTACTGAAGTGGCTTGTTCTGGGAGGTGCAACACTTCACAGAATCACAGAATCACCAGGGTTGGAAAAGACCTTCAAGATCACCCAGTCCAACCATCCACCCATCACCAATAATTCCCACTAAACCATGTCCCTCAACACAAAATCCAAACGTTCCTTGAACACCTCCAGGGTCACTGACTCCACCAGCTCCCTGGGCAGCCCATTCCAGTGCCTGACCACTCTTTCAGAAAAGAAGTATTCCTAACGTCCAGCCCAAATCTCCCCTTCCATGCTCCCTCCCACCTTTCACCCTCTGAAATCATCCCTCACCCCTGAAAGCCATTTTATCACCCTACATTCCACACACCCCCATACTCTGCATTGTTCTTTGGGCTCAAACACAAGGCAAGCCAACAACTCATAGGCTTTTCTTTTTATTTAACAAAATCACAGCTTTTTTTTTTTTTTTTTAAGAAGAAAGGAAGGAAGGAAGCAGCTAAATGCTGTAATTATTGCACTGAAGAGAACTAGCAGCAAATACCTGAACACGTTGTGAATACTGCTCCTGCATCATTGCCAAGAGCAATCTTTGATGATGGTGGCAGGCTTAGGGACCGAGAAGGATGGCAATAACCCTGAGTGATACCCATCACCACTCGCATCCTGCAGGCCAAGCCATGGCCAAGTAGACACCAGTTGTTCCACAGCACCCAGCAGTGCCAGGATGGGACATCTCCCCCAGTGCACCTTTGCCTGTTCCAGATGCCAGCCCTGACTCCACTCCACCTGTCAGGAAAGTGAACTGAGAGAAAGCTGCAAGGGAGTGAGGGCTCAAGAGAGAAACTGTACCACCAGTTCCCTGAGAACAACATGGAATCAGCATGGTGGCAATGGACATCCCCATCTCTCCCATTCATCCCTGTACAGTCTTTACTGAGCAGCCCTTCCCAGGGATACAGAAGGGCTCAGGCTTGAGGCTGATGTTGGAAACCTAAGGGAACAGACCAGTGATGGAAATGAGACCACAGGAAGGCTGAGATCCCAACAAACTCATCTGCAGATCAAATCAATTCCTCAGCCTCAGTAGTGGCAGGGGTGATGCTGAGAACCCTTGAGGCCGAGACTCCTGTCAAGCAGCCCATGGCTTGGGCAGATGCACATTTCTCAGTCACAACAGTGGCAGAAAGGAGAAGAAAGAACAGAAGTGCTGTGCCCAGCACTGCACACTGACACCAGTCCCAAGGAGGGCTGGTCCTGTGCACAACAGCAGGGCATACAAGCAGGGTAGGTTTCATGGCTTCACAAGCTTCAGAGTCACAGCTGGGAGTCAGCGCTGCTCTGGGTGCTCGGGCTGGGCACATGTTTCTGCATAGCTTAATTGCCTTGATTTGGGACCTAGGAAAGAGAAAAACCCAGCTGGGATGAGTGTGGATCTAAGGCAGGAGCCTTCCCAGTGCCCCTTCCCTGCAGCTTGAAGTGGTTACCAGGACTATGGGCAGAGCCTGACCTTGACTGTCTCCAGAGACTGGCATCCACCACCTCTCTGGGCAAGAAGAGAGCTTGCAAAGCACCCACAAACCTCATCCCAAACCTTCCCCACGGAGGTGCACATTGCCAGATGCCAGAAGCAGGGGTCTCTGCTTTGTTGCCAGTGCCATTTGCTGTGGCATCCATCAGTCCCGCTAGGACTGGGATAAGCTGTTTGGGGGCAGATCCAACCCATCCCCACGCTGTTCCCATTCCCCAGTGCATGCCTGAAGCGTGGCCCAGCTCCCACCTTCCCAGCAGATCTAGCGTCCAGCTTCTCTCGGAGGTGCAGCACCCACGGAGCTTGGGGTGGGGCACAGAGCCGCTTTCCCCTCGCGGTGATGAACCTGCCAGGTCCACAGGGGAAAAGAAAGAGATGTTCTGAAGATGTTCCTCCACAGCTTGAGTTCTCACCCACTGCCTCCATCACCATCCTCCTCCACGCCTCCTTTATGATGACTTTCCTCCACATTTTCCCCAGATTTTCACCTCCCAGCAGGTTTGTCCTGCTCTGTCTGAGCCTCTGCATGTCCTTTCCTTCTCTTTGGCATCCTTCCCTGTTCCCCAAACCCATCTCACCCCTCCTTCACCCTGCTGCGCCTCCCTCCCTGCCTCCTGCTTGCTCCATCCCTCACCCATCATGGAACTAGGGCTCTTACACGGTGGCAGGGATGTCGCAGCCATCCTGCACCAGCTGCATCCGGTAGTCCTGCACTATCCGCCGGGGGATGGGCTTCTCGCTGGTCCGCAGGCAGCAGTCGAGGACGTTGTTGCCAGCGTACACTGGAGGAGGAACAGCATACGTGTTATTGAGGTCGCTCCTGGGCTCCGTGGACAGTGGGGCCGTGGAGTGGGGCAGGAAGACGACCGCTTGGTGGGGGCAACCCTGCATGCCTAGAGCCCTCCCCTGTCCCCAGACCAGTGCTCCAAGTGCCAGGGGTGTTCCCCTGTTGTGCTAGGGACTGCTTAGGCAAAGGAAAAAGGAAGCACGGGGGTGAAAGGAAGCACGCAGATCAAGTGTGCACAGGCTGGGCTAGGGCACAGGGGGGCAGGAATGCTCCGCCACTGTTCCCAGCACAGTTTTCTGTGTAGGATCCTTTGCGGACTTTGGGCAGTGCAGAGTCTCTCTGGGACGGGTTACCAGCAGAGCATTCAAGAGGGCTGCTGCAAAGCCCCAGCAGTGAATCCCTGTATTACTTCTGCAAATACAAAAGCAAACAAGAAGTTGGCTCCTAGCCCTTCTGCAAGAAAAGCACCCGTAAAGCTTCCTTCTTACCATTCAGGATACATCTCTGCACCAGGAGACTAAGGCAAAGAAGATGCATCCGCTGCATTGTGTCACTGAGTCAGGCAGAGGAGGGGCTGCAGACGGTGGTGCTCCGGGCAGGAGAGGTGAGCTCTGCACAGCTTGCTGCGATCTGTTGCTGTGCTCTCCACTGCCTATTTATCTGTCCCAGCCCGTGGCTTTCACTTTCTTTTGGTGAAGACGGGTGGGAAATCACAGCAGGCAGCATTTTGATCTTTGTGCAGTTCCCGAACATCCCGTCAGCTTTCCTTGCAGCCAGCTGCTCAGCCTCCCCACAGCCAAGTGCTCTCCCAGGGCATGTGGGCTTCGGTCAAGATCCTCACCCCTGGTCCCTGGGAAAACACTTATGGGATCTCATCCCGTGCATTTCCCACTCCCTCCTCCAGGACCTCTCTGGGACATCCCCACTGGATGGGGCTCATCCCCCAGAGATGAGTGTGTATTGAAGCTGCTTGGCTGCCTTTAAAGCTTCCAACTTGTTTGCAGGAGCCTGGCTGCCCCTCCACCTCCATGCCCTCCCCATTGCCAGCACACCAGACACATTCAGAACTGCCTGAACTTGGAGAGTCTGTGCAGCGCTGGTGGATGGAGCCTGGCTGAGCGTACATGCCAAAAGACAGTGTGGTTTCCAGGTGTCCCTGGAGCAAATGGGCTCATGGCCAAAGACAGCTGCATATCTTTCTGCAAGTGTATACTCTCAGCACATGGGCAGAAATCCCCTACGGAGGCTTGGCTGCCAGCACTCACTGCTCGTGCAGGCATCACCAGGAGCAAAGAGCACACTCCTGCTGCAAACCTTCAGAGCAGAGAAGAGACAGAGGCTGTCCCTCCTTGAGGTCACCGTCAGGACAGTGCCACCAACACCACCACCCTCAGCCAGCCTGCTCCAGCCCTGGTGCGTGGTGTGGGGCATGCAGCCTGTGGAAGGGACAGTGGAAAGGATCTCACTCCTGCCCCACAGGCATTTGGAGAGGTGTAGAGCCAGGGTCCTCTTGGAGGGAACTGGAGATAGGGAGAGAAGCACCAGCTGCACTCAGGGAAATGCCCATTAATATCAGGAAAAATATTTCTCCACAAGGATAGTCAAGTCTTGGATTGAAATCTCCACCCCTGCACCCTCTCCATTGCTTCAGCTTCAGCCCTTCCTTGCACCTCGGTGGAGACTGCAACACAGGGACAAAGGTCTCCTTGGGGACAGGAGATCCCTCTGCTCCTCTCAGCAGTAGGAGATAGCGATCTGCTCCTTCCGTAGTCCGGGATAGGAAGAGGAAGCTCCAGCCATGCCACCTGCCAAAGTGCCTCATCCCTGTGTGGCTGGCTGCTGGTGCCACCTTGTGCACGGCACTGTGCTTTCCATCAGGAGAGCCTTTCCTCCAGCTGTGCCCGTGCCCAGCATGTCAGTACTGCCGGAGGGGACAGGAGGAAGCTGGCAGGCAGAAGGAGCAGTGCAAACAGGATGTGCAAGCATAGCTGCAGTCAGACCCTCCCACTTTCAGCACTCTCCAAGCTTATTAACTGCAAAGAAATCTTGGTGGGTGGAAGAGGAATTTAGGCAGCAGAGGATTAACATCATTCATCAGTCCCATGTGGATGCAGTCTGGTGCTGGGACCTGATATCCACTCATTCTCCCTTGATGCTGGCAGAGATCCTGTGGCGAGGAGGATGGTGCAGGATCAGCAGGGAGTGCTGGAGGTCCCCTCCTTTGGGATCTCTCCTCCTGGCACTTCTGGGGGCCCTGTCCTCATGGCAAAGGACAGGCCATGAGCAAAAGGTGTGGCAGTGCATCCTGGGGGCTGGGGGGAGAATAACTCCTGCAACACCTCCAGCAGCCCTCAGCCCCTGAGAAATACTGAGGCTCTGCTTTCCTGCATGTGACATGGAGCTTTCCCAGTGCCAAGTGGGTGAAAGCATGGCTGCTGGAGTCACTTCTGCTCCCCAGGAGGACCATGAGAGACTGAGGAAAGGGGCTTTCCACGTTGGGAAAAGGGGATGCGATGAGTTTCCCCCTCTGTTGGGGTCAGTGAGATTTCTAAGAAGAATGTGGTTAGCCACAAAGCACATCCAAGCGACCATCCCCCCCACTCTGGTGTGATTCGCGCTCACTCCTGAGGAAGAATTTCTTAATGAAAGTGGGAACAACGCATGAGGGAGAGAGGGGGCTCCCGTAGGAAATCCAACCTATTGTTATACATCACTGGGCTCTGTTCAGGAGGCACAAGCCATGCTGCTGTCCTCCCTGAGACCCCCTCTTACCAGGGTGTTGTGCAGTGCTCTGCTCTCCATCTCCAAGCCAAGGAGCTAGAAAGGGCAAAAGGGGAATTCCAGCAAGCTCAGACACAGCCAGCCCCCGTGGCAGGATCTGGCCTGGCTGCATTCACCTCATTGAGAAATGTGAGACTGCATCACAGCTGTTTTGATTTCCATGCCTCTACTACAAGCTTCTGACATGGGAGGCTTCCATGTCTCCCACAGCATCTCAGTCCCACTGCAGCGTGGCACCCAGGATCTCCTTGGGATCTCCTCCAGCTGAGAGAATGTAGTCAATGTAGTCAATTGTAGGTCAAAATGGAATTAAGGAAAAAACAGTGAGCACTTGACTTTGGCCAGAAAAGAGCAAAGAGGGTCTTGAGGTCTTGGCTAACAGGAAGGCAGTTCTGTGCCAGTTCCTAAGTGGCTGACACTGGGGAGAGTGGGAGCCCCGTTGCCCACCATCCTCTTCTCCATCTCCATGCTGAAGCAGGAGGACAGAGCCCAGGGGGATGATGTGGTTGGAAATGCTGGCTCTCCATGAGCATATCTCTCACTTAATAACCCACAGTTCCTCCCCTAGTTCCACCACTGAGGGAAACAAGGTCCAGAGGAAACCACTCTCCTGCAGGGCACGTGTCTACACACCACAGTTTTGGAGATCACCGCCCTTCTAGCACCCGTGTAGCCCTGTAAGCACCAATCTGCAGAGCTGCAGTGTGCATGCTCCCATGTGTTGTCATCAGTACAGCATGGAGGGACCAACCCTGTGCATGTGTCCCCAGGTGAGCATCACTGAAGCTCAGCCCAGCATCCCAGCCCAGCATGCTGTGCTGCCAGGAGCCTCATCTGTACCGGGTAATTGCTGAGCAGATCATTTGGCTCACACTCAGGACTTTCCTTCTTTTGGCTGCATGTTGTGGATTCTCTCTTGCTTGGCTACTTTCTGCTTGTCACCTAATCCTGTCTGCTCCAGGGTGGCCCAGCTCCTGGAAATCCCCCCAGCCCAGCGCTGTTCCTCCAGCCTGTCGCTCAGAGAGTATAATTGGAGTGTTCTCTGGTGCTATTGCACCTGCCATGCATGACAGCAGTTTTTTTGTCTGCTCCCACCTGAGGTTTCTGCTACGTTCTTTTCACCCTGTTTTCCTCTGTAACAGTGTTTTGCAGTGAGGATGGCTTGCAGACTCACGTCAGCCCCGGCCGGATGCCTGTGCATGCACTCCCGTATGACCAGAGCAAGTCACAGCCCCATTAATAACTCCTCTAACATCCCAGAGAGCACAGGAGCACGGCTCTGAGACGAAGTCATGGCTGTGGGGATGATGTGCGGTGCAGCCCTTTCACCCTAACCTGTCTTCCCCACCCTTCCCACTCTCCCCAAAGACGGTCATGAGAGCCAGAAGGATTGTGTTTGTGTTTGAAAGATATGTTTTATTGCCTTGCATCCTGCCTGGAGCCCGGACAGCCGCACTGTGGCACAGGGCCAGCTCAGTGCCCAGGGTCGGTATCGGGTTCTTCACAGTTTCTTTACAGTCTTAAAAGAATACACCTCAACGCTCACCAGATAAAGCAATCAGCCATATAAATGCACTCAATAGAAGCACTCAGCTACAAGTGTTCGCCAGCCAGCACACTTCCTATGCTGAAATTTTTAAGCCCCACAAATCCTATTACTGTAATCATACAGCTTAATAGACCCTTACTGACTGAAGTCCACGTCTGAAGGCCAAAAGCAAACAGCACTGTGGCTTTTACAGAGCCTTTCCATTGTTCCTCAGCACAGTGGGGAGACTGCAGTCAGGGGATCTATCCACCCACCTGCTTGCAGCCTCACTTTTCAGTGTGCTCAGGGTTTGATAGAGCTGCTCACTATTGTATTTGCAATGAATTCTGCAGATTCTTCTATTGCTGCACCTGCATAGCCTTCTTCTGTGCACTATTTCCACCATGCACACATTTCGTTTTGGAGAAGAAAGCCTAAGAGAGTTTCTTTTATCGCTCCTGAAAGCAAAGCACTTTGCTTAATAATGACTCAATCTCTGAATACAGCAAAAACGAGTGAGGACAAAGCGGTAAAATCGCACTAAAATGAGAAGTTTGCTCTGACCTCATTGCAATTTTATATCTAAAAAAAAAAGGATTGAAAAAAATCAAAGGATATTTGGAAAAAAACCTATCTTCCTACTGTGATACTGCAACAACTTGAAGCTAAAGGTAAGCTCCAGCCCAACAGTATAGCAGAACCTGCAGTCCCCATGCTGCTCTCAGCCACCATGGGTGTTGTGAGATGCAGCACCCTGGCCCTGGGCACTGCTTGGAAGCTGGAAAAGAGCAAGTGGGCTAGAGGGGAATGAACTGCAGCCATCATTTATTTGGTATAAAAATAAGAGCCATCTTCCAGAAAAGCCAGTCTGCAGCATAAATGGTGCTCTGTGAAGCAGCAAGCAGAGCCCTCCAGGTGCAACTGTGTAAAGCAGAGTCTTTAATATAAATACAAATGTATAATATCCCCAAATGAAGCTGCCGTCCCACCAGGTGCCTTGCAGGAACCCCCCCACCATGGTGAAGGTGCTCACTGCTGGGGCTCAGCTCCCTGCTGGGGAAAGGGGGTGCCAACAGAGGGGTGGAGGACATGGGGCAGAGCACAGTCCCCTCTTGCCCCACGCTGGAAGGTGAGTGTGCTGCAGGTGTCCATTGCTGGTCGGTGGTCAGTGGGGAAAGTTCTTGTCCTAGGGAAGAGGGCAAGGAGAGATTGAGTGTCTCAGCACACCCCAACCTGTGGCTGTGGGGCAGTGTCCCCAAGCATTTCTGCCACCAGCTTCATCCCCAGGCTGCTGAGGGGGTGAATTTGGGATGCGGGACAGCATCATTGCCATCCCTTCTCCAGCTTGTGATCCCCTCCCTCCCAGTCTGCCCCTCACCTACCTCTTCAGGCCTTGCTTAGACCTGCTTCTTCTTCTGCCTCTTGGGTTTGCGCTGGGAAGGGTTTTTTCTTCTGTTGTCCAGGCTCTTGATCAGCTTCTGGACAGTGGGGTCGGTAGGAGAGGAGCAGATTTTCATGTTCTTCTTGGTGGTGAACCTGGGAGTATGGGCAGATGGGTTTGCTGCTGAATAAGAAGGAGCACACAGGGAGGGAGGGCTCAGACCACAGTGGAGTACTTACACAACAGCACGCAGCACGCATCCTGACTCAGGGCCCTGGATGCTGTAGGTCTTCACCAGCTTGATGGGGATGGTCTTCTGGCTGGTCTTCAGGCAGCAGTCTGAGGCCGGATTGTCCACACCTGGGGGACAGAGGGGGCATGTGAGATTTTGGTGCCCCATTGAGCCAAGGCACCTTCGCACCCCAGGGAAGCACAATGTGAGTCATTGTTCCTCGGGAGTGATGCTGTGATTGTTTCACACTGATGGGCAGGTCAGCTCCAACACAGTGCTCCGTAAAAGAACAGGGGGAGAGAACAGGATGAACAAAGGCTCATGGGCTAAGAACGGCATGGCCATTTACCTACTACAGTCATGGGCAAAACATCTCAACGTAAGAGAGATTCATACAATTTATCGCCTATTCCTAAGAAATTAGAGCTGGGAAAACTAAATGCAAACTAAAAACACCTTCCTTCCATCCAACTGCTTCTATCTCTTCCCCTGAGCAATGCAGGGGAATGATGTTGGGGCACCAAAATAAGGATGGGAACCCTGCTTCCCAGTGCCCCACTGCAGCGATATGTGACACACAGTGCCACCCCTGCACTGCTGCTGGGGGCAAAGCAGGAATGGGCTCTTTTTCCTGCTTTGCCCCCAAGCTTGGGGTGCTGCCACCCCACCCAGACACCCAAACACCCACCTGCACCACACCACCACCCTTTGCTCTCAGGGCCACTGCACTCTATGCAGAGCCCTAACCCTAATCCTGACTCCTGCCCCACATTCCCTACAGCCCTCACCTTCAGCCTGGTGGAGCAGGAGAGAAGCAGCCAGCAGGAGCAGAGGCAGCAGGACGCGCAGGGCCATGGTGGGTGCTGAGCCTCGCGATGCTGAGCAGCAGGACACACACTGCTGTCCTGAGCTTCGGCTGCTCCAATTTATCTGCAGTCGCTTTGCTTTCGTTTTCAGTCCCCCTGGCAGTCAGCCCACTAGAGGCTGTGATGGAGGAGATGGAGGGTGGAAGTTTCCCGTAAGCAGTGAGCCCCCCTTTACGGACCAGTTCTGTCTTGTTCCTGGCTGCCCAGCACAGCACAGGGTGCCACGCGGGGGGCACACCGGAGACACAGCCCCCGGCACGTCCAGGTAATTTCTGGGCTCCTGTTTCCTACCCCATCCCACAACCTGCCGCTGCCTGCTCCCAGCTGCTACTGCTTGCCTGCTGGCTCCCCAGGCAGTGACCCTGGCAGGTGGCCAAGTCATCAGGAAAACCAAGGAGGGAATCTTCTGATTCCCCAGCCTGTGCTTTGCTTCCAAGACAAGACATTCTCCTGATGTAGGAGGAGCTGAACGTCCACATACGAGCTCTCTCAGCTCTTCTCCGAAGCTACTCTGGGAGCCCCCCAAAACTCTTGAGTGCATCTCTACTATTGGGATGTGCAGGGTCCATGGTGCAAATGGGGCTGGGGGAGATAGTACATCTTGCTCCCTCTCTGCATACATGAAGATCCAGAGTGTCTGCACCCTCTCTGTGTCACCTTATTGTGGGGACCTGGGGCTGAGCAGGGAACTCAACCAGATGAGGGAAATGGCTGGTGAGATTCTCTTGAAGCCCAAGGCACTGTCCGTCAGGTAGGAGACGGTGAGCTCTTCAGCAGGACATGCTGGGCACGGATCTGGCAAGAAGTGATTCTGAGGGAGCTCAACTGCAGTGGCAAAACCCAAAGGAAGGGCTCGGTCACCATGCCACAGACTGGAAGAGACGGAGGATCAAGATTTCACGACTAAGGATGAAGATTTCACAACAGTCTGGGCAACCTGTTCCAACACTCAAAATGTTCTCATGTTGAAAACATTTTCCCTCTGTTTAATTGGAATTTCCCTGGGTGCATCCTGTACTGCTTCTTCTCACCCAGACCCAGGGTCCCTCTGAGAAGAGCTGGGTCCCTTCAGCCCCCTGGGCAGCCACCACCAGCAAGGAGCTCCTTTATCACCCTCCCCCTATCACAGACCCTCCTGACCCAGCCTGGCCTCCATCCTTTCTGCTGACCATGTTGATTGTGTCCCCAGAGCCCTCATAGGTTCTCCAGTTGTAAGGAGGAGTCTGAGTTCCTCCCTCAGTCCTGCTGCCTGAGCCCCAGTGTGCTGCTAGTGAAGCCCCAGAAGTTTAAAGCAGTTCCTGATAAAGATCCTCATTATCAATCATCGATGGCAATGAGTAACCCAAGGGGAGAACAAAGTCCCAGCAGAGAGCAAAGCACTGATAAGATGCCTGAGCTCTCCACACAGAAGGGGCAATGGTCCATGGGCAGCAGCAGATTGCCTGTGGGTGCATCTCTCCAGAGTGCCTGGCAGTGTAGATCCCCACATGCCATCGGATGTCACTCCAACCCCAAAGTATCAGTGGCATCTATGAGCACCAGGGGGAATGCCCTGGCGTTGCACATCTGGGATAGTCAGAGTGCCTCTGTCCCACCACAGATCCATGTGCTGGAGAGCCAAGATCACTCTTCCTTCTTTCTCCCTCCCTGCCATCCACCCTGATTAGGCTTGTCTTGGTACCCATACGATGTCAAGGTGAGTGATGCGAAGGGAGGAGAGAGATGCCACTGCTTGCCCCTACAATAAGTGAATTACCCCAGGAGAGCTTTGAGAAACTGCACAGAGCCCTACTGGATTCCATGCCTGGTCCCAGGTCTGGCTGCTCCTGGAAAGTCCCTTGCTTTCTTGTTTTCAAGACACTGTAGTAGCATCCTCTGGCCAGCCCCAAACATGGCCTGAGCTGCTGAGCAAGGTCAGGGCATGTGCTTCCTTTGCAGGCATCACTGTTAGCAATTTTCTGGTCACTGAAATTTGTATCAGAAAGAAAACAGCTGAGTGGACCCTCACTCCATTACTCCCAGGATAGTTGTTTTGGAGGTGCACAAGCTCAGGGCAGGGGTACCCAGCAGCATGCTCTTGCTCTGGGCACAGGCTAGGCAATGTGCAGAGCCACACGTAACCTGGGCAGGGGATCTGTGCCCACTTCCACTCCTGCCTCCCTTTCCAAAATCCTCCTTCACCTTATGTGCTCTCCTCTATCTTCTATCCCTCACATCCAGGAGAAAGCAAGGCATTTCTGGCAGGGAGATAGGGATGAGCATCCCTGTCTGCAGGGAGTCATGAGGCAGATCTAAATTTTGGGAGATAGAAGAAAGGTTTTTTAGGGCTCTCCAACACCAGCAGACTCCAGGAGCAGCACTGCTCTGCTCTGGACAGGCACAGTTTCTTGCATTGTACCCCCATTAACCAATTGCTCACCAATTTGGGTTCCTGCAGCCACCAGAGCTCAGGAACAGCGGTAGAGATAGCTACAGGGAGAAGAATACAACCAGACAGGATGCCTTTCTGCAGTGCTGGAAAATACCCCTTGATGCTGCAGTGCCACAGGTTTGGGCAACTCAAGCCATTTATCCCAGACTGCAGGAAGAGGAGAGATTACAGTGACCCACAGGACCTATAGGCAAAAACAGTCAGAGACCACAGCCACCTTGCTTGCAAGACTTTTCCAAGACTGAAATCATCCCAGCAGCTTGCAGGCAACTTGCTCAGATCTTCATCTCAAATGCCCTGTATGCACCCCTCACCCCAGTGCCAGAGCCTGGGGTTTGCTTATGAATTGCTTCCCCAGCTTGCTGCATTGCAGTTTGGCATCTCATTCCCACACGTCAGGAGAGGCCACAGAGCTCCTCTGCTACCCCAGCTCTGCTCCGAGCACCCTGTGCACGACAGGACAGTGGGGTCTGCTCCTCAGCTCACTCAGGACCAGCCACAGAGACTTCTCAGCTGCATGCATGGACTAAGGGCATCCAGGAGACCCAAGCTGGGGGGTGGGAATTTCCAAATCCTTTTGGATGCTGCATCCAAATTAAAGTCTCTGCTAACAGGAATAGGGTCGTTCAGCTTCACTCAACCCGCTGACCAGCAAATTCCTTCCCGCAGAGCCCCCGATTCCCAGGAGAAAGCCACTGAGGCACCTCGCTGAGCCCAGCCTGGAAAGCCCCTATCACTGGGAAGGGGAGAGGGCCGCCTGCCAGCCCGCACCGTATAGAAACGTGCTTCATGGCATCCTTAGGAAGCGGGAAAAGAATTGCTGGAAGCCAGCGGCACACGCGGCAGCTGCCTCCCTATCCTCGGCGTGCAGCAGGGCTGATGGGAAGAGCGGAGTGAGCACAGCGTGCTGGGAAGCACAACCCGGGACTCTCCTCCCCATAAACGGGTGCTGAACTGCAGGGCTTTGGTGTCTTTGGGCAGAGAGAGTGTTGTGCGCCGTGTACCCCAGACCCTCTGATCCCAAAGAAAGGCATTTTCCCAGCTGAGAGTCATGCTAGGAGTTAACCCTTTACTCACCCATATGGCCATGGACGTGTTAAACAGCTCTGGGAGCGGATTAAAAAATGCACAGAAAAAATGTGCAGAAAAATGTGCATGGAGTGAAATGGTACTGATAGTGGTGAGAGAAACCTGCGTGAGTGATCAGCGTGGCAAGATCTTCTCCATCCTCTGTGTGGTGCAGCGCTGCCCATAGCACTACCCCCCTGATCCAAAAGCAAGGGGCTGGGCTGGCTCTGGCTTTTGTTACCCCTTCCAATCAGAAAAAAATGCTCTCACCCTCTTGGCCATGCACAGCCCAGTACATGGCATCTTCTGGGCTCAGGCTGGTGTGAGCTTGTACATTTGTCACTGTGGCACCAGCACACTCAGCTTGTGCTGGAAGGGGTGATGCTGGTCCCTCTGTGGCACAGTGGAGACATCCTTAGAGTGGCAAGGTTTGTGTTAGGGATGGGACACAGTGAGATGCTCCTGCTCTTGGTGAGAAAGAAGTGAGTGCTGCATGGAAGAGTGGGGCAATTTGTGTTTTCATAGCCCTCCAAAATGAGTGACCCTCTCACTTGGTCCTCAGCCCTGTCACCAAGCATTGGTTCAGCTCCTCTCCCATCAAGCACCATGGCAAGGCTTGATTCAGAATCCCTGCTGTTTCCCTCCCTGCAGTGTAAATAGAAGGTAGTGGGAATTGCTGGTACTAGTCCAGCTGTTGTGGAAAACAGAGAGGTAACAAGTCGTAAATCCCTCAGGCAATGGACCAGGCATGTGAGAGCCGAGCCAGGCAGTCAGAAAGGTTTGGGTTGGGCTGTGAGCAAGGACACACAGAAGCACCGTCCCAGTGCAGCCTGCATAGCTTGAATTCAAAGAGACTTAGGGAAACTGCTGGGAAAAGAGACAGCTGAGTGTTGTCAGAAAGGAAGCGACTCCTTCTCCACTTCATGGCTTTATGCTGAGGGATGTGGGATGTTGAGTTTGAAAGCAGGCAGAGCCGTGCTGCTGACACCTAGCATCTGCCAAGCAGCCCTGTGCTGCCCCTGGCATGAATTTAGCCCCAAAGGGCTTGGCCAGAGAGAATGTATCCAACTGCATATAGCAGACAGGATCTGGCAAATGCAGCAAGCTTGGCAGGAGGGGGGGAAAAGAAATTAAAGGCTGCCGAAGGGAAATGAAGCAAAAAACCAAGAAGGCTATGGAGGGTTAGTAGAAGATGTTAGAGCATCAAGTAAGCTGGGAACTGGATGTGCTTCAGCTCTGCTCACAGCTCAGCATCAAACAAGGAAGCAGCAACCCAACAGTAGGAAAAGCAAACGGAAAAAGCCAAAAGACAGGATTGAAGTCCATGGAATGAGGAGATGTCAAGCTTTGCATTGGGCACGGGCTGGTGGAATGGTAGCTTTGTGTACCATGAGTGCCTTTAGACAGACAGAGCCAGTACCAGCCTCTGAATGGTGCCTGAACTCTTCCCAGAAATTGCATGGAGAGAAAACAGCTGTTGGATAGAGAGGAAATGTTTGGGGCTGCTCAGAGAGCCCTGCTCCACAGTGCACAGGTCTCTTCTGCCCAG